TAATTTGATTAATTGGAGTGGCTTGTGGTGATTGCATATTCCTCGGAAGGTGATGGAAATCATGTGGCGGGCTTTACATAATATCTTAACGTCAAAGGCTCAGCTTGTTGAGAGAGGCACAGTGGTTATCCTTACTTGCAATAAGGAATAGACCGATTAGGACAAGTGGGAAAGTTATCCTGAAAATTTTAAATTATTATATATTTTAATTTTTTTATATTTTCAATTGATAATCTATTTTCACTTCCGAAAATCTTATAAATTTACTCGTCTAAAATTTTAAAAGTTCATCCCAAATATAATATCTTGCTTACAATAACTAGTATTTTTTGATTCAAGGTTTTAATAAAAATTTATGCCTTTTAACTCTAAAAAAAATAATTTTATTTCATTCCCTCCCAAAAACTAAATTCTGAGTTTCGTCCGAAAAGCGTGTGATCGGCCCTTCTTGTATCTAATATTTGGAAATCTAGTACGTACTTACTAATTAAGAAAGCTTCAACTAGTGAGACTGTGAGTGTCGGCGCATGTTGCCTTGGGTTCGGCTTTAATTTATTTATTTTGCTTACTTTTAAGGGATTCGTAAATTATATTTATAAGAAAACAATAGTCAAAAGTTATGTGCAAGAGGGCGGCTCCTTGCTCAAGGGTTGGGTTGGCATGTTTGCTTCATAATTATAACCAATGTTTTTAAAATCGACCGGATATTGAACCGGTGAAAGTACTGGTTCATTAGTTCATTGGTTCAATCGTGGTTGAATCGGATTTTATATAAAATAATTTTTTTTAAATTTTACATAATATTCAAAACAATATTAATATATATGTAACACTTTTTTAAGTTTACAATATTAAAAGGTATAAAAATATCACAAGTCATAACATATATAAATTAAAAATCATAAAATCAAGTGAAACAAAATGATTCAAATCAACTACAACATACTATTTAAGGTAAAACATATTAAATAATAAATATAATTATATAACTATAATCAAAAAAATAAAATTGGGGCTTAAAAAATCATAACAAATGATGTAATTTGGTTTAATTTTTTTTAAAAACAATCCCACATGGCTAAGAAAACATAGAAGAGCATTCTAAAAGTTTAAAGAGTAAAAATATTAGAACAAAACAATCCCACATGGCTAAGAAACATAGAAGAGCATCTCAACTTACTTCTATAAATAATATATGTAATTTGACATTCAAAATCATGGAGTCTTTTGGTGAGCACAGAGTGAACTATTTTTTCGCTTCAATTGAGCTCAAATTTTAGGCTTCAATCGAACTTCTAATTTTTTTTTGAGTTCGAGTCTTTTCGAGTTCAAGTTTTAATATTATATTTCGAGTTTGAGTTGAACTTGATAATTTTTAACTCGTGAGTTTTTTAGTTGAGTTGAACTTACTTTTAAAGTTTTCGAGTTTGAGTTGAGCTCAACAATACTCGAATTTGACTTGGCTCGTTGAACAAACGACCATTGGTTCACGGTTTAACCGGTTGAACCAGCCGGTCCGGTCCGGTTTTGATAACCATGATTATAACCCATGAATATGGATTCTACCAACTTTCTTGATATGAATTTGTTGAGGGAAAAATGGAAGCGTGGTTATTGGTGTTGATTTTTATACAAGAATAATTATTCAGTTGAGTCGTTAGATTGAATAAAAAGTTAGTCAAATTTATAAGTATTAATTTATCGTTCAAAATTTATTTTAAAAATGAGTTGAGTTAAGTCGAATCAAATATACTTATTATAATTTCTATTCAAAATTGATTTCAATTTAAATGACTCTATCTAAACATATGCATTATACACATATTTTTCATCGTATATATTTTCACTAATATAAATGGGATCTATAATATTATTTAAGAAATCAAATATTAACAAAATTATATATTATATTTATAATATTATTTTTAAAAAATTAAATTTTGAGGACACATCATTGATGAGAATATAAAGGAGTTTAAGAATTAATAATAATAAAAATAATTTGCAAATTAGAGTTGTAGTCAGAGAATTAAATTCAATAATATATAAAATTGATGAACGAAATTAAAAAAAACAAGAAGTATACTTTTTGTTAAAAAAAGGGATTGAAGTTACAAATGTATTTTACAATGATAGAGGAACATATGATTCAAATTTAATAAAAAATGGACTTAAAATAAAATAAGAATTGGAAAAATAAGAATATGGTATAAAGTTGATGTACTAAATTAAAGAAAGAGAAAATTTGTTTTCAAAAGAGAAATTAAAGCTGAATATTTCATAGGTGGGGTTCAAGCTCAATAACTTATTAGATTATTGTTTTAGAATAATAATATTCAATACATTATTTTTACTTAATATATTAATTGTTTTTATAGTTTTTTCATCAACATTAATATATATTAATTATTTAAATTCAATTTGAATTAAAAAGAAAATATATATTAACACAAAAATAAAAGTTAAATTCGAATATGATTCGACATTTTACCATGAAACACAAAGAAATCAATACTAGCAAAGCATATGTAACTCTATAACCCTATCAATTCCTTTTCCACTTGTGTTGGATTTCAGGTGGAAACCTTTGGGACAGGATCTTAGTACAAATGAAAGATCAGTGCCGCAAAATCAAAGGGTCAGATATTTTCTTCATAAATGCTTGCATGCAGATGGATTTTTGTCGAATGGACCGTGTACTGCATCATTATAAATGGCTTTTTTTTTGTGTAAAAGATTTTGGTTGCCCGATTAGTTTTTGGAAGTTCTGTGAGGACAAGCAGTTTCCCTATGCCCAACGGTGACCGTCCGCAAACAAAACAAATTAGGCGGGATAAAAATCTCCTTCATTCGTACAATCCTGCTTTGCCTTTGCCCGTCTTGTCGTTAATTTAGCAGTAATTCTTTTAATTTTTACGAGTCGGTGCTCGGGGAGAGACAGACAAGCAGACAGGCAGGCCTCTAATTTTGACTTGCTTTAGTTAATCATTAATGCTTAATTTTTCAGGTACAGAAGTTGAAGAGTTTTTTTATTCAAAAACGTTGTAAATGCTTAAATTATTTTTTTAATCAAACTAAATGTTTGAATTAAGATGAACAAGAAGGAGATCAATTATAATTTAATTAATATATTATATTATCAACAGCGCATTGCATGATAATTAGTGATTCGACAACTGAAGTAAATACAAAGTTTGAAAACTTTTAAAAGAAGAAGAATATAGCGTGTTAATGATTATTTTAAGAGTACTGTAAAAGGTTCAAATTAGGTGTTGTAAATAAAATAAATTGAGTTTAAATTTTTTTATTAGAGTCAACTTAAGAGGAGGAAAGGGGCAGAGTCAAAATTAAATATTGACATATTTAAGAAAAATATAAAGATTTATTAGGTATTTAAACTCAAAATTCAGTACGAACTAAACGACTTTTGTGATCAAGGGATTGTTGTTATCCTTGAGGTCTCAAGTTCGAGCATAGCGCATGTAGGGGTATGAGCGTTCATTGTTAAATAATTAAGAATCTTTGTATAGCTATTACCTTGTATTCACCCTAAATTTATATATAAAAAAACTCAAAATTCACAAGATAACAATTAATTTGTGTAATATTTAAACTTACAATGACCTAAATTGTTATTAGACCAAAAATTTTGAGAAAATATGGTTATCATTCTTTAGTTTGGCCCTTACTTGATTAAATATTTAATAATTTCTTATAATTTTTAATTTAAATATTTATTTTTACATAAACCAAAATTATATTAAATATATAAATTTTAACATACACCAAACCTTTGGGCCCTCACTAAGCTCCACCTCCTAGGAGTTATCTTCATAAAATAATATATTTGATAATATTATAAGTTAATAATTATCTTTTATTATTTTAGTCCAATTTAAAATATTTTCTTAATAAAATAATGAAAATAATATATTTGTTAAAGTTTAATTATATTTTTATAGTTTATTTAAATTATTTTTTAGGCTTAAGGACTACTTTTGTCTTTGTAAATGACTCAATTTATCATTTTCGCTCCTATGGTATTTTCACATCAATATAACCATCAAATTTGTTTAAGAGCATCATCTTAACCCTCGATACTATTATTTTGACTAACAGAATCATGAGTCTTATGTTCATGTGAATTAAGGAATTATGTTAAAATATTTACTAAACACAACCGTTAGAATTTTTTCTCTATTTAAGTGAGATTAAGGGATTGAATTATAATTTTGGAGATTTTTTAACGGTTGTATTTAATAAATATTTTAAATATTTTAATATTTATATTTTTAATAAATATCACGTAATCATTAAGTCACATAAATAATATTGATTAACGTGAAAATTGTTGGCGTCTACAATTGCAGAAGGTTAACTGTTTTATTAGTTAAATGAGACTTTGAGGGATATGATGATACCCCTAAATAACTTTGAGAGTTAAATTGATGCGAAAATATCATAGAGACAAAAATGACAAATTTGGTCTACTACATGGGGCAAAAGTAGCCCTTAAGCCTATTTTATAAAATAATTAATATACTTTCGTTATATAAGAGTCTTCATAATGAATTTTTATAGTATTCAATTCAGATTAGATGATCAATAAATCAAATACATATGATAATACGTAGTATATATGTACATTCTATCGATATAATTATTTAAATCTAAACTCTCTAAAAATAATTCATTTCTTACCATTTAGATTGAATTCCACTTTCATTTGTGCATTAAATGTGAGTGAAAGCAACTGATGGAATTGAGAGCACGAGATGGATGATAAGAGGCAAAAGCTAAGACAAAACCCAGCAATGTCTTTGCCCTGTTTCAATACAATATTTAATCTGCTTTTATTCTACTTTATCTTGTTTGGAATGTGTGGCAGAGTAAAAGTTTTAGTGGGTTTAATAGGCTCCCCTCCTCGGTTGTTCTAACTATAAATAAATCCCCACCCCTTTCATTTTTTTTCCATTCTCACCGCTTTGTTCTTTCCCATCTCCAAAACCAACCATCTTCATTTACTTCCAAATATCAAATCCAAGTGTTTCTAAACAAAACATTTCTCTTCCGTTTATATCCCCTGTGATTTCAAAAAACTCCAAAAAGAGGTGAGGAGGGGGGAAAAATCCCCTTCATTAAAGCTCCCCTGTTTCTCCTCTGCTTCCTTCCGCTTGCAAGTTTTGATTTTGGATAAGAGAATGTGCTCAAGTGTCTGTCAAGGGTTGCAATCATGCCAGGAGGTGGTTGAATCACGTTTCTTGAGGCTGAAACTGGTTCCACCCCAAACAAGTTTCACTGAACCATATAATGGAGAAACAAACACCACGTCCACCACCTTCATCCCCAACGATAACAACAACGACAATGATTGCCAACTGATAGCCAATCGGAACACCAGCATGGGTGGATGGAGTTTCCTCCAGTCCCTATCTGACACAAAACCTCCCGCCGTGAACCAAAAAGTCTACGTGCACCCTCCTGTTAAGCGTTCGGCGGCTTCTAGGCTAAGTGATAAAAGCCTCGAAATGTGCACCGAACATTTAGGTAGCGAAACTGGAAGCGAAAGTAGGGATTGCGGTCATGACATTTCCTTGCTTTCGTTGAAAACTCAAACCGTGGCTAGAGATATTATTCCGTCGAAACCGAGGGAAAGTTCGTCGACCAGAAAAATGAGGCGTGACTACAGCTTTCCGCCTCCTTTGACGTCCATTAGCTGTTCGAATGGTGTTCAGGTCAAGTCTCATCGGGAAAACGGCCGCTTAATTCTTCAAGCCGTTAGTGTCTCTCCCTGTCATAGTTACTTCCATGCAGAACGTAGCGAGGGGAGGCTTAGGCTTTCCCTTTTCAGGGACGCTACCCCAGTTATCGACATCGAAGATCAAGATCAAGAACAAGAAGATGATGAAGAAGTCAAAGTTGAAGAAGATGAGTTTTATGGGGAAACCGAGAATAAGGAAGGAATTAATGGGAATGTTGGGGGTGAAATCGGGGCAGGGAAGTTGCCAAGGCCAAGCAGCTGCAAAGAAAGTAATCGAAGCCACGAAGGCGGCTTGCTTCATTGGAAACCATTCTTGGTGACTACTTGAAAAAATATGGCTAAAAATGGAAGAATTTTCACCACTCCCAACTGAGAATTAGAATTCTAATTTTTAGTTATTACAAGTTTAAGATTACGTACCATGGATTTCCTAAAATAAGCTATTGTTGATAAATTATTATCGTTATAGGACCATCCATCTATGTTTCTTTTTCTATATTGTTTAATCTTAATTATACAAATTCTTACAATTACTTGCAAATCATGACCGAGCAAAGATTTAAAAAAGAACGAAGGACACCAATTGAGGATTGCCCTTGTTTTTTTTATCAACCACCGAGTGTAGTGAATTGTCTGGTCCTCAATCCAAGCACGATCGATTACTAGGGTTGCCTTTAATTTCTGTCCTCATCGCTTTCATAGGGTACATTTTATTGGACCACCACCATGGAAAAAGAGAAAAATGGAAATAGGAGGCATAAGGCATGGACATATTCGTACATACACAGATAGTCCTATGGTTCCCTTACATTGTTAAATAATTAAATGAAAATATCAAATAAATTCGGATTCATAAGAATGTTTGGTAATTATAGAAATTCCGGGGCCACCAAAGACAACATGCAACTGATCACCTCATCAGACAAATCATCCATGTGCTTTAGGTACCTGCTCCTTCCCCTATTATACTAAGATTCCAATTAGTTTAAACCTCTTTTCGATGCTTTTGACTACAAGGATGATAATAATTATTACTGAAAAATAAATTAGTGTCATCTGGGTGATGGTTTATCTATTTTTGTTTGGATGGAGATAGGGACTTAACCAGAATTCTAGTTGAATGAAGGCAAAATATAATTAACAATAAAAAAAGGAGGAGCAAAATTAAAACTTAAAGGTCTAAATAGATATTTATCCCTATATATCTTTTAATAATAAAAAATTTGGGGGGGACAATGGCCTCCAACTATACATAGCTCTGTTACTGGATGGAGAGTCGCAGCCAATAAGAGGACAATCGTTGGTTGATATTCTCTGTGATAGAATTGTTCACGGAAAAAAAGAAGAAAAAGATTGGATGTAAATATTTGAGGATTGAGGTCATCGTCTGATAGCATCATATATGGGGTTACCATGATTATTCGTAGGTTAATAATCTAAATAGAACTAATAGTCAGATCTTTGATTTCAACCTGACAGATCAGGATGATCTATCAAAGATTTTGTCTAGAGATCTTGTCTATGCATTTAGCTTGCCTAAAGGGTAATGGTGCTCTCATCCTAGGTCAATGATCCCTTACTAACTCTAATAGATGAAAGAGTCCATCTAGCACTTTCAGTTAGTAGAGAGTTGATAATTTTTTAAGGTCATCTCCGAAGATATAACAATCATGATTCATAAGTTATGTGACTGGGTCTTTTTCAGTATCATGTGAAAGATAATAAATGTCCTGACAATTTTTAAGTTGCACTTATAAAAACATCTGATCCAACCCATGGTTACGAAGGAATGTTTACGTGTAACGAAAACGGAAGATCATTAAAAACAGCGATTATAGATGTTGAAAACGAAATTTGTACCGCAGCAATAAAAGAAAGTGCCGTTTCCTTGCAAGGGCATTATACACAAAAGGTAACTTTTGGGATACGGGCAATCAGCAAAAGGCTTAGAGGCTAGGAAATCGATTGGTTGGTTTGGGGTCAAGGGAAGATGGGGTAACATTCCTCAAAAGAGAAGGGCAGCGTCCCACACAGTGCAATTGGGGTTAGGTACCCTTTTTCTTTAAAGTTTTTAGGGTTTTCTGGGGTAATACTGTGGATGCTGAATTTGTCAAATGTTATTAGTCCAATAATGCATCATTGTGTCTTGACATCCATCATGTGCTTTGAGAACCTTAGAGAGCCTTTCCTTTAATCACATATATTATTCTCTCACCATATCACACCCACAGGCAAGTGAAATCTTGAGCCTATCACCATGTCTCCTCATAATTATTTTTTACAGTCACCTGCAAAAAAATGAAAATCATATATGTTGGGCTACAAAAAGATGCTTAATTGAATGGTAATAAAGATTTTCTAGTTAGCTAGGCAGGGGTTGGAAATTTTTGACGATGGATCACCTTCCTTTTCAAATTTCAACTACACAGCATCAAGGGGTGCAGCTTGCGGAGATTACTCAACGAGCAAAAAGGAACATAATATATCGTTTAAAGTTTCGAATTTTAATTCTCTCGATAAAAGAATAATATATATGATTAAATTAAAAAATATATAAGTGGATGTAATTTAGATTGTACAAGTGGTCGAAGGAGTCAGAAACTTTACCTGCTTGAATAGATTACAAGGTGTACGGAGATGTGAGCATCACAAATTTGGTGGTCCTATTTCTTTTCCCCACGTGATTTGGTTGGTTTATTTAACCTAACCCAGCAGAAGCAGTTCTTTTTAAAAAGAATGTGATGTTGTTCTGGGAATGTCTCAGGAAAGGCGGGTTAATATACGGCTAATATACAGCATTACCGGATACATTAAAATGTATTTAATAAATTCGGTTTAGCGGTACCTATTATGTTGACAACTAATAATGTTTTAAGTAGAAAATATGAAAAACTATTAAAAAATTTGGTAACCGGTAAACTTTGGTTATCGGTAAGTATCTATCCTTTTTATAAAAGTGTCCATACTTTTAACATATCAAGTAAATTTTACCGGTTTTGTCATAATGAATCTGGTTTTGTCATATTTTTACCTGTTATATTGTAAATTATCTATCCTTTTTATAAAAGTGTCCATACTTATTTCACTGTGAAAATATATTTATTATTATCTTTAGTTAATATTGTTAAATTTAAAATCTAAATAATATTTTATAAAATATCAAAACAATCAAATAATTTTTTGTGTAAATGAAATTATTAAATTAATATTGTAGGTGGAAAACATGAAACACTATTAAAAAAATTGAAACATAAATTACATAACTTTCAAAAAAGTATATATCATTTTTATAAAAGTGTCCATACTTATTTCACTGTTGAAAACATATTTATTATTATATTTGGTTAATATTGTTAAATTTAAATTCTAAATAATATTTTATAAAATATCAAAACAATCAAATAAAATTTTGTGTAAATTAAATTATTAAATTAATATTGTAGGTGGAAAACATAAAACACTATTAAATAAATTGAAACATAAATTACATAACTTTAAAAGCAGTTTTAAATCCTAAAAAGTGTCGATACTTTTAAGAAATATATCGATCCAAAACGATATACCAGGTAAAATTATGATAAAACCGGTAACAAAATGATAAAACCGGTAAAATTAAAAGTGTCGATACGTTATATAAGGATCGACACTTTGTGAATTTAAAAGAGAAGCAGTTATAGCGCCTATAATGTGTCGATACTTTAAAAAAATATCGATCCACAACGATATAACAGGTAAAAATATGATAAAACCGGTATCAAAATGATAAAAACGGTAAAATGATACCGGATATATTGAAAGTGTCGATACTTTCTTAAGTACGTGTAATAAATTATCGACACTTTCAAAGAAATAGGTAATTATCCTTTCGAAAGTATCGACACCTGACATAAAAGTATCGACACTTTTGTATTTGTATCGATTAAATATAAATAACATATCCGATGAAAATATAAGCTAAATATCCTCTGAAAATAGATAGAACGGACGAGTTTTTGAAATCGAAGAGTAATTGTTGCTGCATTTCAGAAGGCGTTTCTAAAGCGAAGTTTGTTTGTTTGTTGCTGCAGTCGAATCGAAAAGTATGTTGTCGAAACCCTAATTTTTTATTATTACAGTAATCGCGATAGGGTTTTTTATGTGTTGTTTGGGGTTTTGGAGTAAGGAAGCATTTGGGACCGATTGCAGGTAGAAATAGATATTCAAGGAAAACGATAAATGTCGATACTTTTATTAAATATTATAGGTAGAAAATGATATTATAGGTTGTATAAATGTGCCGACACATTTTGGTGTGGCCATTCAAATTCTTTTGAAGAAAACCGTTTTACCACAAGAGTAGTTATCTATATTTGTATATTGAAAAGTGTATGTAACAAAATAATTTGATTTGCGTAAACTGATATATGAAGGAAAAATGGAGTCAATGGGTTGGAAAATTGTTGGTGGAGCAGATGACTTTGAAATTGAGGCCGAGACTCGAAAGCAACCAAAGGGTGGATATATGTACTTCTAGTAAGTATCAATGTCTTTTTGTTATTATTGTTGAAATGGTAATTGGATTAAAGTATCGATAAACTTTAAATTGATTACAAATTTTAAATGTTAACAGTATGGCCGAATGCAAAAGGATGAAGGGAGATGGCACACAGAGCGGTTCGGTATGTAAAATGAAATTGACATTGAGTAGTATTAGTATTTAGTGTTAATGTATTGATTAAGAAACGTTTATGTTTAATATTAGGTGAAAAAAGATGTGAGGTCCAAATGGAATTCAATGAGTGATGCTGAAAAGGAACCTTACATCACACAGTCAAGGAATGATAGTAAAGAATACAAAGAACGGAGGAAAGCACATGAAAATAAGGTATTCATTAAACTTGTAAATACGTTGATACAAAATATATAAGAACTATAACATTATATATTGTTAAAAAATGTAGGAAGTTTCGACAAGATGCAGCATTAAAAGGGTGAATTTATTAATTAAACACCTTAAGGAGAAGGGTCAGTTGAATGTGCTGGGAGAAATAGGTTTTGGATCGTTGATCGGAGTAAGGGATCGACCTATTCGGAGGGAATTGTGTCGATCCTTGATGGCACAATTTGACGTCAGTCAATGTATGGCTAAGTATGGTGATTATTCATTCCCTCTGGGGGTATCGACTGCTGCAGCCGTATTGGGGGTACAAAACAAAGGCAAAAGTGTTATAGAAGTCTGTAGGAGTAAGAACTGGAAAGCACTTGCCTCCAAATATGGTTTGAATCATAAGGTGACATATACTGAAGTTGAAGAGGATATCAAAAGTGGATCTTACTTGGGGGATGAGCTGAAGGCCCGAGTTCTATTGTACCTTGTCAGTATATTTCTTTGTCCAACGGGTGATACGTCAACGAACAAGGAATATATGAAGC